TGATTGTTTTCCGATTGAAGAGGGGGGTGCTGATAAGACCAGTATAGAAAAAATAGTGAAACACTTGACAAATGGAACATGTGACCAGAAAAACATTGTCAAAATCTATCGACTTGGCAAAAAAAGTGACAACATTACACGTCCGATTTTGATCAAATTTGACGATGTAAAGAACAAAGAATTGGTCCTAAGAAACAGTCACAGATTAAAATCCATTGGTGACGATTTGACGGGTATTGGTCTGAGCCACGATCTTACAAGTGAACAATGGACTGAACTAAAACAGCTTGTCAGTAGTGCTAAGAAACAGGAATCTGAGGATAAAGAGGGTTTTTTATACCGGGTGAGGGGGGACATCGGGAAATGGAAAGTGGTACGTTTAGCTGCAAGAAAACAATAAGTTTGATTAATGGACGTGTTGGCACTAGGTATTGCTTGGAACAGTTGGTAAAGGTACAATATGTTAATTTTTGCAGATTCAGACCTGGCAACAAGAAATATAATACTAATAAGAAAACGGTTAGAATTGGTCTGTTGAATGTCAGGTCTATCAACAATAAGGTTGATGATGTCTATGAATGATTTATGATGGCCTCGACATACTGGTTCTGTGTGAAACATGGCACGGGACTGAAGGTAATATTTCCGTTAGATTAGCTATGCCACCTGGTTTCACATTTGTGGATTTTGTCAGACCGCATGGCCTTGGTCACGGGGGTTTGGTAATTTATTTTCGAAGTGATTTTAAGTATAAAAAAATAAATCTACCTTTATTTTCTAAGTTTGAAGCTCTGGCCATCAGATTGAAGATTGGAATTGATCAGTTCTGTTTAATTGCCCTCTACAGACCTGGCTCAGAACAGACGACTTCATTAATCTTTGAAGAGTTGATTCCTATGTTAGAGTTTATTACAATGTCGGAGGCTCATGTTATACTTATGGGTGATTTTAACATTCACGTTGAAAAAAGGGATAGTCCTTTCAGTCTAGGACTACATGAGATACTTGATACGTTTCAGTTGGTCAATCATGTTAATCAACAAACGCATGTGTCGGGAGGTACGTTAGACCTAGTAATTTGTTCACATGATTTTCCAATTCTTGATACTAAGATTGACCCGTGTTCGGTATACTCAGACCACAGTTACGTAGGTGTGAGAGTGGCGTTGAATCAAATCCGATCAAAACTTGTGAAAGCATGTGTCAGA